GGGTTTTGTTTTGTTTGGTTTTTTGTTTGTTTGTTTGAGACAGGGTTTCTCTTTACAGACCAGGCTGACCTTGAACTCACAGAGATCTTCCTGCCTCTGCCTCCGGGAGTACTAGGATCAAAGGCCCGAGGTGGCCACCTTCTGTAGCCAGGTGGTACTCCCAGTAGAGCAGGGAGGCCGCCAACCCACTCATAAAACCTTCAATCCAAAATTTGTCTTGCCTACAAGAAGCATAGGGGTAACTGGGCATAGTAATCCCAGCACTTGGGGAGGCAGAGGTAGGTGGATCTCTGTTTGAGGCCAGCCTGGTCTACAAAAGTGAGTCCAGGATAGCCAAGGCTACACAAACCCTGTCTCAAAAAGAAAAAAAAAAGTATAGGGGTAAAAATGAAGCAGAGAGTGAAGAAATGACAAACCAATGAATCAACCAAAGAATAGGCTGAGCTCAGGGAGTTCTGTGAGAGGGGACCAGAGGGGTCAAGGATACAAGACCTATAGGGTAACCTAACCTAGGCCCGTGGGGCTTACAGAAACTGAACCACCAACCTAAGAGCCATGCATGGACACATATATAGCAGAAGTGCAGGTTGGGTTCCCTAAAATGGGAGTGGGGGCTGTCTCCAACTCTTGCCTGCCTCTAAATCCTGTTCCCCTAGACGGGCCACCTTGTCAGGACTCAGTGGGAGAAGATGCTCTTAGTCCTTCCACAACTTGAGGTGCCAGGGTGGATTGATACCCCTTGGGGGTCTCCCCTTCTCTGAGAAGAAGGAGGGAATGGGAGGAGTGGAGGCATGGGGGTGGGACTGGGAGGAAAGGAGGGAGGGGGTGGGATCAGGCTGTAAAGATATTAAATTAATAAATTTTTTTTTTTAAAGTTGTGTGCCGGGTTGGGAATTTGGCTCAGTGGTAGCTCAGTAGGCAAGCGCAAGGCCCTGGGTTCAGTCCTCAGCTCTGGAAAAAAAAAAAAAAAAAATGTGTGCCACCACACCCCACTGTTAGCATCTCTCTCTACCCCCTTCCCCCCAGACAGGGTTTCTCTGCTTGTAATTTTGTCTGTCCTGGAACTCAGATCTGCCTCTGCCTCCGGAGTGCTGGGATTAAAAGTGTGGGCTACCACCACCCGGCTAGCATCTCACTCTTAAAGCACAACCGGCCAACCAGAATCACCAAGCACAAGATTGTGAGGAAATAAGAGACAGAAAACCAAGACAGTATCATCAGAGATACCCAAAAGATGTTGAATCCCCAAAGCAAAAAATGTAAAAACCATCAAATGAGATTTCTTCCAAATAAAAAGTTTGAAAGCCAGGTGGTGGAGGCACACACCTTTAATCCCAACACACAGGAGGCAGAGGCAGCAGGGTCTCTGTGAGTTTCGAGGCCAACCTGGTCTGTAGCACCAGTTCAAGGACAGCCAGGGCTACACAGATCCTTGTCTTAGAAAAAAAGGAAAAAAATGAGAACAGCCAGGAATTGGTGGCACATTCCTTTAATTACAATACTCGGGAGACAGAGGCAAGCAGATTTCTGTGAGTTCAAGGCCAGCTGGATCTACAAGTCCAGAATGGCTAGAGCTACACAAAGAAATCTTGTCTTGAAAAACAGCTCCCCCCCCCAAAAAAAAAATCTGAAAATGAGCAATTCAATAGATTGAAAAATAAAGTTAAACTGTGTGTGATAACACACACCTTTGATCCCAACACTGAAAAAGCAGGGGCAAGGCCGAAGTCTGAGTTAGAGGCCATCATGGTCTACCTTTCCAAGTAATTCTAGTCAAGTTCAAAGACAGGCAAGACTGCGTGTTTTTTTGTCTCAAAAAACAAAAATAAAATAGAGTTGAAAGTTCCCAGGAAACAGAGAGTGTAATAATCACATTGATCAATATTCTTCAATATTTAGAACAAGATGGGCTCACCAGAAGCCTCTGAAAATGGAGACCCTCCCCTGCCTCCAGGATGTTGAGTGGGCTGGGTCTCACCAACCACCACCAGGGGGAACCCCAGGCACCACACTCTGGTGGTTGCTTCCCTTGATAGTGACGTGCATCACTTCTCAGAAAAACCTTTGGCAAGCCACTAAAAACCTTGAAACTCATCAAGGTGTTGACTCCATCTTCTCTAGACAAACTAGCCAGAGGCCACACTTCATGGTGACAGCATTTGGCTACTTTGGATATCTTGTGAGTCACAATGAAAAGCCAATTCTTTTTAGCAAAAACCACTTCTGAATGCCTGTGGCCCAGAACATGGTGGCCCCCTGCTCTGACTTTCCTGTTCTTGCCTTATGTCAGCTCAAAGGACCTGTACCCACTCCTAATGATGTGTTCCAGCCTGTAAACACCATTGTTCCAGTGTTAGATGAACCAAGGTTTTTTGTTTTCTTTTTTTTTTTTTTTTCTCCCTAGACAGTATTTGTATAGCTTTGGCTGTCCCAAAACTTGTTCAGAAACAAAAACAAAACAAAATAAAAAAATCTGAAAACAAGAAATTCAATAGATTGTCACTGGCACACACTCAAGAGGCAGGGGTAAGGCAGATCTCTGAGTTGGAGGCCATCCTACCTTTTCAAATAGTTCCAAGCAAGTTCCAAGACAACCAGGACTACATAGAGAGATCCTGTCTCAAACAAACAAAAGACCAGGCTGGCCTTCAACTCAGGGTTCTGCCTCCAGAGTGTTAGGATTAAAGGTGTGTGCTCTACCAGCCTGGAACAGGTTCTTGGAATCCTTCTCATGTCAGACACCAGAACCCCAGGCTTTCACAGAGTTTTGTCTCCCTGCTCTATCACAGGCCACACTGGCTGACAGAAGTCCAGATCAGTACCTAGCACAGTTGTCATCAGACAGGCCTCTGCCAGCAGCTGGTGGAGCAGATGCAGAGACCCACAGCCAAACATTATGCAAAGAGTGAGCCCAAATTGGAGATTTATACCCACAGAATCAGCTAGGTATGGCTCCCGGGGTCTATGCCAGGTCCTCTGCATGAATGTTGTGGTTGTTAGCTTGGTATTCTTGTGGGACTCCTAACAGTGGGAATGGGAGGTGTCTCTCTTTTCCCTGCTCTTGGGACCCTTCTTCACCTACTGTGTTGCCTCGCCCAGCCCTGACATGAGGGTTTATGGCTAGTCTTACTGTATCTAGTTATGCTGTGCTGGGCTGATATCCCTTAGAGGCCTGCTGTTTTCTGAAGGGAAACAGAGGAAGAGTGGATCTGGTGGGAGGGCACCTGGGAGGGGTGGAGGAAGAGCAAACTTCAGTCAGGATGTATTGAAAACAAACAAAAAAAATTAAATTAAAAAAAAAGAAATAGTCTTCGCTCTGCCCTTGAGGTTGTGCATGCCTGTGAATACACATGAACACATGATAAATAAATGTAAAGCAATAGAAAATGCAAATCCAACATCTCAGGTTATCCAGGAAATAGGAGATAAGTCATAAACAATACAAGAAAATCTCATCTCTCTCTCTCTCTCTCTCTTTCTCTCTTTTTACAGTGGCAAGTCACTGATAATTTCCAAAACACTGGGCAAAGAAAAGATCAGAAGAAACAGAAGAGCTCTTACACAAAAGGTCAGAATTCAGAAGCATGGCAGTTCCTGGAACTAGAATGTAACATGACACCCTTAAGTCCTGAGGAGAAAGAGTTTTCAGCTAAACAAACTTCTTGTATCTCATTACATTTTTCAAGCACGTATAAGATTAGAATAAGGACAAATAGCCAAAGATTCCATAATTTCCCATATATTTTTCTCAGGCAAATTGAAGGATGTTCCTTTTCAAGTCAGGTAAGTGAAAGAAGAATGCACGAGGGAAGAGAGAGGTATGCAAGAGAATGCTGGCGCAGGGCAACCCACACTGACAGCTGAACCACAATACAAGAACAAGCAGCACAGAGATCACTTGCTGGAGATGCAGGAAAAGAAGAAAAGTGGTTAGTTGTGCTTTGTCCTAAATATCGAGAAGCACCCAAAGAGGAATTAATGACAAACACATACAGGAAACTAAGAAGGGCTGGTGAGTGGCTCAGCAGTTAAGGGGGCTTGCCACCAAGTCTCATAATCTTGGTTCAATGCCTTGAGCCCACATGGTGGAAAGAAAGCTAACTCCTGAAGGTTGCTCTCTGAGCTCCTCATGTGCTATGACACACACACACAGCAACACACACAAAATAAATGTTTAAAGAAAACTAAAAAAGAAAATTATTAACTTCAGAGAAAACAAAACATTGTGTAATAAAGAAAATATAACCTAGGACATCTTGTTCTTTGCTAAGACCTACACTAATGAAACTGAAATGCTCAGCTGCGATGCCCATCCAGCTGGGATAATGCTGGGTCCGAGGTTGGGCCGGTGACTAGCCCTAAAGATTTCCATGTGGGGACACCTACCATATAAAAACCAATAAACAGGACAAAAAGCATGCTTGTGGCTGGGTGTGGTGGCACACCCCTTTAATCACAACATTGGGGAAGCTGAGACAGGCAGATCTCTCTGAGGTTGAGGCTAGCCTGGTCTCCATGAATTCCAGGCTGAGGCTAAGAGACTTGAACTAGTGTAGAATCAGGGTAGAAGAATGCATGTGTTGTTTACTGTTGACCCTGTCCCCCAACAATTCTACTTTTAAAACGATATGCAGTAAGGCATGATAGCTCACACCTATAACCAGAGCACCAGCCTGGTCTGGATTCTGAGTTCTAGGCAACCAGAATTATATAGCAAGACTGTGTCTCTAAAGATAAGCTGAACAGCCAGGCGATGGTGACAAGTACGTTTAATCCCAGCACTTGGGAGGCAGGGGCAGGCAGACCTCTGAGTTCAAGGCCAGCCTGGTCTACAAAGTGAGTTCCAGGACAAACAGAGATAGACAGAGAAACCCTGTCATGAAAAATAAAAAATTGAAAGAGGCAAGAGAAAGTACCACACTGATACTATCAAGTTCAGTTTAATAACTTGTACAATCTGTTATGGATTTTTAAAATAAACTATGTCAGACCATGCATAATCATAGTTCATTTCATTTATTAGATATTCCGTGACAAATCTGCTTTATTTTAGGTTTTGGTTTCAGTGAAGATGTTATGGTAGGCAACACAACAACACCCAATCGCCTATGTCCATTTTCTAGGCACCAGAGCCCAGGATGATTAGTCTCCATAGCAAAAGGTGCTCTGCAGGTGTGGTTAATCTACAGACCCTGAGAAGGACATCATCCTAGGTTATCTGGGTGGGTCCAACCTATTCACAAAAGGTCCCCACCTTCTTGGCAGTGGAAAACCAGATAGCTAGTCCATGACAAAGATTCAACTTGAAGCTGCTTGCTGGTCTGAAGGTGGAGAAAAGAGAGCTAAGAAAAAAAAAAAGTTGGTGGCCTCTAGAAGCTGAGAAATGTTCATAATTGGCCACTGTAAGAAATTAGGAATTTCTGCCTTACCATGGCAGGGAAGTGAATTCTGCCAATAGCCTGAAGGAGCAGGAAGTGAGCCCCCTCACTTCCAGAAAGGAACTTAGCCACAGACATCTGGGTTTTAATCTAGTGAGAGCTTGTATCAAACTTCTGATGTGCAGAACTGTGTTTGTGTCATGGCAAACACAGTTTGTGATAAGTGTCACAGCAGCAACATGAAACTATTAATACAATAGTGAGCTTTTCTGGTTTCACACATGAAATGTTTAAAAAGGAATCTGGTTGTTTGAAACTTGAATGTACATTTAAAAATGTTTAAGACTTTAAATTTGAAGTTGGAAGAGAGGCAGCTCAAGAACCAAGAAATCAGGGTGGTTGTGAGGGAAGGATTCTACCACGACTTTGGGAGAAAAAGGGAAGCCCGCATCCCCAGAGTTTAAACACAGCTCCCCAGGGAAAAGGTGCAGAGGATGTCTGACCTCCGAGGACAGGGTATGAAGACTAGAAAGATCCTGCTGGAGGGCTTTGGGGAAGACAAGGCTTTGAGGTCCTGGTCTCAAGTGTGCGGAAGATCAGAGACAGGGCTCAAGACAGGTCTGCAAGGGCCAGGACTGGTCTGAGTGGGATCAGGGGGTTGCTGGCCATGGATCCAAGTCCAAGCTCTCTAATCTCTGATTCTCCAATCACATCTGGTCTGCCTGATGCCCAGCATTGTGTCTGACACCTAAAGGGATTTTACTACTTTTGAGTCCAGGCTCCTTCCCTAGGTTTCTATGCCACTTGAAGGCATGGCTATTGTCTAATACCAGATGGAGTGATTTCCCTAACTGACCTATAACCTCCACTGCCATCTAGGCTCAGGGCTTCATCACCACCCCAGGGTCCCACACTGCTGCAGAAAGCTAGGGGTGGGGTCTTGACTAGCGGGATCTGTGTTCGGTTCCAGGGAACACAGGCAGAAGGCAGCTCTGAGCAGTGTGGGGCTCTTTGCCAAGTGGACAACCCTGAGCCCTGGTATCCCTGCTGGGTGCCAGGACTGGAAAGGTCAAGCTTGTGTCCCACGGTACTTGAGAAAAGTGGTCTCCAGAAAAGCTGCTAGCTTTGTCCGGTCGTCCTGCAGTAGACGGGTGGGGAAGTATGGTAGTATTGGGCAGCTTGGCAGACCCTGCACCTTTCCAAACCCGTAGCATACCCCTGCCCACCTCGTGCAGGAAGCCATAGTGCACTAGTTCAGCGGCGAGGTCCTGGGCACTGTCGGCTAGGGAGAGGACGCAGGACAAGTGAATTGTGGCACCAGCCAGAGCTCGAGCCCCAGCCCACCACCTGATCCCCTACCAGCCTACTTGGGAGCAGGTCATAGGTCAACTGCCGGTGTAGGCGGTCCTCAAGCACCAAAAGCAGAGTGAGCTGTGGACCAGAGGGCATGGTCAGGAGGGGCCAGGGCTGATACCTTCTCACCTTCCCTAGCCCCACCCAGGGCCCTTGCTCACATGCCACCGAGCCTTGTCTTCACTTCTCTCCATGTTGCACTGCATCTGGACCACCTGAGGGCAGGGAAGCTATATTAGCCAGAGCACTGCTTAGCAAAGGAGCCCAGAAGGCTCAACAGAGACCCCAAATTGGTAAAAATCTCCAAGGGAAGTCCAGAAAGCACATGTCACTGCACCAGCCCTTGAGATATTAGAGAAGGCTTCCAAGAGCAGGCCTTCAGTTCAGGTACTGAATGAGGAATACAATGCCTTGGAGAGAGGAAGAGAAGAAGGGAGAGAGGAAGCGAGGCGGGAGTAGGGGGAGGGACAGAGACAGAGAGACAGAGAGAGTGAAGTGTGGGAAGCAATGAACTGTGTCCCAGGATGTGACTGTACAGAAAAGCAAGGTGCCAGCAGGAGCATGCCAGGAGGCGGGGCCTCAGGCTGACTTCCACTAGCTCTCTGGACAGCCAGGATCCAGGACACTTTGACTACTGGCATTAGAGTTTAGGTGCACTCTGGATGGAAGGAAACAAGCTAGGAGGATGGAGAGCAGGGTGATGGCTCTGGATTCAGATGAGAAATGGAGGTGGCCAAACCTCTGGAATGGAGCATGCAACAGGATGGGGGAAAGGCTGCAAAAGCAAGGAGCCTCTGGGGAAAATGGGCGTCTCAGTTCAATTACAGTTTCCACAAAGGGGCTAGCTTGGATTCAGTCTCTGGCAGCCTGGAGGAAAACTGGGATGGGCAGAGACAGGTGCCCAGGGAAAGGCACCCATTATCTGGTTGTGGACAATTCTGAGACAGCTCAGTGTAGCAGGAGTTAGGACTCACCTTCCTGGTCTCTGAGTCAAAGGGTTCTGGTGTTGGGGTTTTGGCCTTTTGGGCCTCCTCTGGAGGTGGGGCTAACACACGGGGAAGTCCCAGGGGCCGAGCAGCCGCAAAATTCATCAGTGGATAAATCCCATTCCTGGAGATACATGAGGGGGGAGCTGGAGGCTCAGACCTGACAGTGCTTTTCCTCAGACTCATGCCAGCTCTCACCTGACATCCTCTAGGAATTTGTCCAGCTCCAAGAAGGAGACCTCTGAGTACCTAGAATGTGGTAAGAGGTACATAGGGGTGTCAGGCCAAAGGCTAGCCAGGCAGCTAGCGAGTAGAGGAGGCCTCATTTGGTCACTGCTCACCGCCACTGCATTGGGGGTCCATGGGGCTGGGGCATCTCAGCCAAGACTGCATGTAGGTCCATGGCCTTGGTCTTCTCTTCTACCACATTTTCAGGCATGAGGTCTGTGAACCACAAAAATGCTCAGGGAGATGGACCCGAGCTAAGGGTCCTGCAAAGACCCTTCCATGTTCTGACCCCAGGGATCCTGACCCAGCCCAGTACTTCTGCCCCTCACACTGGTGCTGGATGAAGCAGTGGGCGGCCAGCAGCTTCAGCGAGTGCACCTCAAAAAGCACCCGGTGGAAGAGAAGATTGTGGGCAGAGGGTCGTTGGGCAGGGTCCCGGGCCAGGCAGGAGAGGATGAACTCCTAAGTTGAAGAGAAGAAAGGCAGGTGTTGGTTGGAGAATCCTTGCTCTAGAGGAGGTCCCCAAAGACCCTAGACCCCATGAGTCCAATCGCCACATCCCCCCTGCCTTAGTGATGCTGCAAGAGCCTTCCTGTATGGACACACAGAAAAGAAGGCAGCCCATTAGCAGCTCAGGATCTGAGTCTATAAACTTGAGGACAGGCAGGCCTTAGCCTCCAAACAGCCATGCTCTGCTTCCATTCAGCCCTGTAAAATCTGTGAGCTCCTGGAAGAGTCTTTCTTCCAGGTGGGCCTTAGTGCATCAGCTGGTACACTTTCAGATGCAGTGACCAGGCTACCCCTCCAGCCTGCCTAGCGCACTTCAAGGACAAGCTGAGGCACCCGCAGCCAGCCCCAGAGGGGCAAAAGTAACCTGCTCACCCGCATGTTGGGATCACTCAGTGAGTGCCTGGCCCGAGCAATAGCCTCTTCTGTGACCCGGGTATCCCCATTGGCTTGGATCTCCAGGACAGCCATCTGGGTGCAGGGACAAATTGGACAGGATGAGATGATGTGGAGCCCAGAGAGGAAGCTGTGAGGAGGGTGGACGGTACCTCTAGCGCACACATCCCAAAGGAGAAGATGTCCACAGCAGTCCCATCATTGACTTCTGCAATGGGGAGAACAAGGCAGGGTTGGTCAGTCTGATGTATGTGCCAGGAGGCCAGAAGCCCTGGAGCCGCTTAAGGACTCACCACCGTACTCTGGTGGGAAGAAGTGCAGGTTTCGAAGCTCCTCCCGTTCGGCTCGAATGGGGCTCCGGAGATCATCAGGAAGCGCTAAGGAAGAGCGTGGGGCTGAGCAGGTCAGTTTCTCCACGGTCCCTACACCCCAAAGGCCCCACACACCATTGGAGAAGATGCGGTACCACACTGCAATGACCAACGCAGAGAGAAAGAGGTGTCAGCTGGGCTGGTACACTGGGGCAGTCTCTGCCCAGGGCTCCCACAGGTTCCCCAACCGTGCCCCCTGCCCCGCCCAGCCTCGCCAGCACCAGAGCCAATCTTGATGAGGCCATTGTGCTGAATGAAGATGGTATCGCTGGTCAGGTTCCCATGGATGATGGGGGGACTGCAGGCGTGCAAAAAACTGGAAGCACAGAGGATAGGAGACAGGAAGAACCGGGTCAGAGGGCACCACCGGGAAGGTGCAGAGCAGGGGGGGCAAGTCCGCGGGCAAGGCCAGGCCCTCACCTGAGTGCAGACAGGATCTGCGTACACCAGCGCTTCCAGGCCTGGCGGCGGACGCACGACTCCGTCGGGTGGGCACCAAGAGGCTGCTGAGCCTGCGGAGCCCGCCCTCTACCCCGCTCCTGAACCAAGGCCACTGGGAGTCCCCCACCCCACCTCTGTCCCTAAGTTCTCCTGGACTCCCCTGCAGTCCCCAACCCACTCCCCATACCCGGGCGTTCATGGCCTTGTGGTTCTTCTTGGTCTTTTTGAGGAACTGCTTGAGGCTGCCAGACGACACGTATTCTGTGATGAAGATGACCTGCGGGCAGGCGGGCTCCGCAGTTGCGGGTGGGTCCCCACGCTGCCCCACCCAGCCTGTGGCTTCACTCCGCCCTTCCCCCCGCCCCCAGCTCACCCTCGCCCGGGCCTCAGAGGCGTCCAGCCAATACTTGTGCAGCTTGACGATGTTGGGGTGGTCCACCAGCGCCAGCTGCTCAAACATGGTCTGGATCTTCTCCTGCGGGAGGAGGACGGTCGTGGGGGGCAGTCAACGGTATGGGGCAAAGGGGGTATGGACAGGCCTCACCTCATGGGCCGAAAAGGCCTTTCTGTCCCCGAAGTGGAGTTCGTTCCACACCACTTCTACCCCCTCCTCCGTGTCCATGGCCAGAAAGGTGCTCTGGATCCCCGGCATGTTCCCCTGGTTCACCTGGGTGGGAAGGACGTGTCTCCTGATACGAACGGACCCAGGGTGTGGACGTGGTCTCTTGCCACAGGCTTCCCCTAGCCATGAATGTGCTGCCAGTCCTACCCAGCTCAGTGGGAGAGCTGGGGGGTGATGAAGCTGGGGATCTAGCCCCAGGAGCAGAGGCGTGGTGTCCGGGGGTTGGGGCAGAAGGTAAAGCAGGTTGTAGAGGTTGGGGACGATCCCAGAAGGGTAGTGGGGGATTCAAGAAGCATGTGGAGGTGGTCCCAAGATGACACTGATGTTCAAGGAATGGGGGTTTCTCACCAGGGTGTGGGGCCCAAAGGGGTCCGAGAGCCTCCAGAGGCCAGGGCGTCAGGGGAGACCGTCAGGCTGCCCGCGCCCCACGGGCCCCGTGGCCTCCAGCCTTAGGCTACGGGACGGCGGCGTCACCCGCCCCCGTGCCCACCTGCTCCCGCCGCTTCTGCCAGCGGCCGCACGGGCTCTCCTCCAGGATGTCGCTCTCGTCCTCGCTCTCGTCCTCCCGCTCGCGCTCCCGGCCTCGCCTAGGCGCCGGCTCCGGGGCCGCCATGGCTTGGCGAGCCCAGGCCACCGCCCTCCGCGCAAGCCCTCTCCCCGCTCCCGCCCGCCCTGGCCCAGCGCCCGTCAGCCCAACCTGGAGCCCAGCGGAGAGGCCGCCGCGAGCCCTCCTCGGCTCCGGGAATTGGGAGGCGCGAGCTCGCAGCGGACCCGAGGGAGGAGCCGCCCCGCCCCTCCGGAGCCGCCTCTGAGGGCCAGTGCAGGAGTACAGCTCGACCGAGGGCGGCAGAGCCCCGCCCCAGGCACGCCCCGTCCGCCCAGACCACGCCTGCTGCCCCCAAAGCTCCGCCCCGAAGAGACGCGCCCCTCAAAGGCACCACCTATTCCTGCGGAGGCCTCGCCGAGGTTTCCCAGGCAGCCGTGGCTCTCCTAGTGGACTGTGTCTGCCCTCCTCGGGAACCACTTCTGCCCAACTCTTGGAGCCAGTTCTTCCTGCACCGCATCCCGATCCTGCTCCTAACATACGTCCTGAACTCGGCCCGACACTGAGGGACCGAGAGTCTGGATCGGGCAGCAAGGGTCAAGGGCATCTGGGGGCAGGCACTTCAGTGGCAGGAGGCCATCTGGTCTCAGAAATGGGGCCAGCTGTCCCCTCAGGTAGCCAAAAAAACATCGCTAAAGGTGGCGGATGAACACTCTAGCACACCGGCAGACTGACAGGATGCAATCCTCACCACCGATCTCTCCCTGGCCCAGAATTCCGTGCTTCTCTTTCAGTGTGCAAGCCCACTTTGCATAATGGCAAGTTGCTCTTTTCTCCCTAAATGTGACCCTCTCCTCTCCACTATGGGCCACCTTGAAGCACGAAGAGGGAGCATTTCTCACTCGCCACATCCAGCGGAATCCCCCCAAAACCTTTATCCACTCTCTCACTCTCACACCTGCCCTCCCATCTTCACCTCCCCTTGCTATACAGAGGCGCTGTCTGCCCACCGGTTTAAACTCCAGCTGGCCCCCGACCAGCTCTGCTCCCTCTGCTCCTGACTTCCATCATAGTCTGCTCAGAATGCTGCATCTTGTCCTAGTCTTCTACCTATCCTAACCTGAAAAGGGCTAGCTAGTTTAGTAGATCAAGAGGGGTTAGCTTCCCCCCACACACACACTGGCCACAGAAACCAGAACAGGGCCAGCGATTGGAAGACAGTCCCCAAATCCCTGGATCCACCTATTTTTGTCTGTTTAACTGGGACCCTAGCCTCACTGGAGAGACTGCACCAAAAAAGTGAATGATGAGAGGAAATTCGTACCACAATGGTGTTAGCAGAGCCTTTTGGGGGGGGGGGGGGGGGGAGGGATTACAGATGGAAGCCATTTTAAAAAAAAAATATTGTAGCCAGGCAGTGGTGGCTCACGCCTTCAACCCAGCTTTCGGGAGGCAGAGGCAGCCGGATCTCTGTGAGTTCGAGTCCAGCCTTGTCTACAGAGGGACTTCCAGTACAGCCAGGGCTGTACAGAGAAACCCTGTGCAGTGGCTGTGTGGGCAACAATGTACAAAGGGTTAGGTGGGTGGTTCAAAGAGCTTCTTGAGGCAGCGACATTTGAGTTAAAACTCAGTGCATTTCCTTTCCCTTTTCTGCCCTCTAACAGGTCACACGGATGTGTGCCTTCTAACCCCCAGTGCCTGGGAAATGGCTTTATTTTGAGACAAACTCCTGTTGGATTTAGGGGTGCTCTGGCATACCCCTTCTCAGAAATCATCTACTCCCTCGACATCTTGTCTTGTGCTGTAGCACCCGGTGCCTTTCTTCTACCTCGTGTGGATCTACCATGGCTCCTTAGGTGTCCCTTCAGGCTCTCTCTGAGCCTTTCCCTGCTGTAGAGTAGGCAGGTGATCCGGTTTCTGAACTCCCATTTCTTTCCCTCTGTCATGTGGTTCTCCGGGCTTAGGCAGATGTCTCCAAAGGCCAGGCATTCCAGGTAGAAAGAGAGGAGGCCAGGAGGCCCCTTGCCTTGTCCCAGCACCTGGCTTTGTGCGCTTGGGCAATAACCCCCAGGACTGCAGACTGGGTTTAGAAACTTGCCTCAAAGACCAGAGGAAAGCAGTGGTGAGGGATGGGTGATGAGCCCGTGGCTTCTGTTCTTGCTCCAAGCATGCCAACATTGATCTTCTGAGCTCCTCTGGAGAACTCACCCTATGTGGCAGGAGATGACTGCTTCCTGACAACGGTCAACAAGGGCAAGCAAGCCTCGCTGCAACTTGGAATTGCTTCCTAGTGAGTGCGTGTTTAGAAGAAATCAATTGGTGGGGGTGGGGGGGAACAACCAGATGTTTCAACATATTTCAGGAGAATAGACACCTACTTAATCATTAATTACTACTAAGGAACAGAGACAGCAGTGCTAAATGGAGGTAATGGATCCTGCCTCTAAGTGCTTCTTGGGTACAAGGCCCTCCTCAGTGATGAAACTCCATCAGATTGCCTCCAAGAATGACTTGGACCTTACATTTTTATTCCTTTAAAAAAAAAATGTGCCCCAGTGCTCAACTTGCACTTGCTCAATAGAACAGTAGAGACAAATAAACACTGGAGCTGCACGGTGGGCTCATCTCCCAGTCGATGAGCTTTGAGCTCTTCATGGATTGCCTATAGTTCCAGCATCCAGAGCGGGAGACACTTGACAACCATGCAGCTGCATTTAGAGAAGCAGGAGAAGACCAATGTGAACATACAAGTTACTTCTCTTGTTGAGATGACTTACTCAGTGCCATAGGGAAGGTTTATTCATTTTTCAGTATTGACTAAAAATGGATGGAAGTCAGAGACAAAAATTAACTTGTATAATAATAAAATGACACAGTGTAACATTTTCCTTCTCATTAAGAGAGCAATTATTGAGGGGCAGTGATGACTCATGCCTTTTATACCAGCCCTCAGGAGACAGAGGCAGGCAAATCTCTGTGGGTTCAAAGCCAACCTGCTCTACAGAGTGAGTTCCAGGACGGCCAGAGTTACACAAAGAAATGCTGTCTCAAGAAAATCAAAGAGAGAGAGGGATTGCATTGTTTATTTGAGCCATCATAACAGATACCAAAGACCTGGTGACTTGAAGAGCAAAATTAATTTTCTCATAGCTCAAATCTAAAAATCCAAGATCACAATGGCACAGGGCTGGTCCCTCCTGAAGCTCTCCCTTTGACGTGTGGACCAATCTCCTCCCCACGTCCTTGAACGGTACCTGTATGTGACTGTCCCTTAATTTCTTTCTTTGGCTTATTTTATTGTATGTGTTTACATGTGCTATGTGCATGGAGTGAGTGCCCAAGGAGGGCTGAAGACAGTCTAGAGTTACAGATGGTTGTGAGCCTCCAGGAGGGTGTTGGGAGCAAAACTCGAGTCCTCTGGAAGAGCAGAAAGTGCTTTTGGCTGTTAAGCTATCTCTCCAGGCCTGACCTCCTCTAAAATGTGTCAGTCAGGACTGGGCTCGATGGTGCATGCCTGTAATCGCTCCATTGAGGTAGCTGAAGTAGGAGGAATGGGAACATGAGGCTCTCTTGAGCCGAATAGCAAGTTCCAGACTACCTCAGTGACCTCAGAGTATCTTAGTTTCTGCTTACTGATCCTGTCTCTAAACTGTCACATGTAACCCTAAAGGTTAGGATGTCTAAATTTGAACTTTTTAGAATGATTTTTATATCTAATTTTTCATATGAAAAAAATTTCATATTTTCTTTTGAGACAGGGTTTCACTATGTAGCCTTGGCTGTCCTGGAACTAGTTCTATAGACCAGGCTAGCCTCGAACTCACAGAGATTCGCCTTCCTCTGCCTCCTGTGTGCTGGGATGAAAGGCGTGAGCCACCAAACCTGGCTATGTAGTCACTTTAAAATTAGTATCATTTGTTAGTGGATTATTATTTAGAAAGATGCTTTTAAACATTCATTTTTATCATTTTTATTTATTTGTGTGTGTGTGTGGTGTGTCTGTCTGTCTGTCTGCATGAATGAATGTCATCTACATGCCAGATGCCTACAGAAACCAAAGAGGGTGCCGGATCCACTGGAGTTGGAGTTTCAGGTGGCTGTGAGCTGCCTGGTCTGTACACTAGGAACTCTATTCTGACCCTCTGGAGCAATTGTAAGCACTCCTAACCGCTAAGCCATCTCTCGAACCTCAAAGAACGATCTTTAAAATGTGCACATAGAAAGATGACACGTTGGCGTATGCATGCAGTCTCAGCACTTGGAAGGAGGAGCAGGAGAACCAGAAGTTCAGGATCATACACAGTTACATTAGGGGTTCGGGGCTAGCCTGCGCTACATGAGGCTGGGTCTCAAAAGATACAAGAATTAAAAAGAGTGGGCTGGAGAGCTGGCTCAGAAGTTAAGAACACTGGCTGTTCTTCCAGAGGACCCAGGTCTGATTCCCAGCACCTCATCCATAGACAGATCTCTGTGAGTTAGTTCAAGGCCAGCCTAGTCCACATCGTGAGCTCCAGGACAGCCAGGGCCACAAAAAAGAAGTTCCCAAGGCTGGGCTGTAGCTAAATGACACAATACCCGCTTAGTGTATGCAGGAGGCTAGGCGCAGTTTCAAAGCTCCACCAAGACACAGTGATCCTACAGACACCCAAGAGCCTCAGAGAAGCAAAAGGCGGTTGGGCAGAGAGTTGAGCTCTCCAAAGCAGTGAGAAGTCAGGTGGAGTCGGTCCCAGTGAGAGCCAAGGCTCCACACATAGATACAGACCCTTAATAAGGCATTGTGTATACAGTGCCACCCTCAGTCTGGATATCACCTACCAGGGTCTGTTTGAGTTATTTTGGGGATTATTACCAGGTCTGGCCTCTGCCTTGATGGTCTATAGCCCTGGCTCTGGCTGCACTAGAACTCACTATGTGGACCAGGCTGGCCTTGAACTAACTCACAGAGCTCTGCTTTGTCTCTGCCTCCCGTGCGCTGGAGGCATTTAAAGCTGTGCCCAGCTTTTTGGAGACTTCTTAAAAGTAGACATCAATGTCTGATCAGATCTGGAAAACTCCATCTCATCACCCCTTTCCAATACTTCCTCTACTCATTTCCCAGCCCTCTTGACTCGGGAATTGGTTGGTGTACATCAGGAGATCTCACTGTGTGCCTTGCTTCCCACCTTCTCTCTCTGCTCCGCGACTCCCTCACCGTGTGCTGTGCTTTCCACAATGCCTGCTGCACCG